GGTTTAGGGCTGTTGTGCATAGGGTCGCTATGAGTTGGAAACGACTCGACTGGACGGCACATAACAACAACAACAACAGTTTTTAAGTAGGGAAGCAATCTTACAGATAATATCTTTTGTTTATGCTCCACTTTGCAGTTTCAAAGGTGATATCAGGAGATAGGTTCAGTGTGGCGTTTAAAGAGTGCCTCAGGGTGAGTCTCAAAGGACTCTTCACTTCTCTACTGACCCAGGATGTCTTCCCCCTGTGCCTTTTAAAATAAGGATTTGAGTTCTGTTCCATCTCTTTCCCTCATTTTTGTGGGATCAACTACCATGCCCCTGCTCAGATTGTTCTGTGAAAGTAGCTCACATCATCTAATTCTTTCCATCTCAGAGTGGATATAGTTGTGGCTCCTATAGATGTGTGTCTTTGCTGCATTTGAGTACCTTCTTACTGTTTTGCTGCAGGTAACTAGAGGCCTGTAATGTCTTAGATAGTTCCTCTCAGCTGTTTGGATAGCTATTACTCACTCCACTGGGATGCAGATAATGATTTTTGTGAACTGTGTTATGCCAGTTGATCGAGTTGGGCCATGACGCTATAGTCTTTTTTTTTTTCTTTCTTTTTTTTTTTTTAAGTTTTTTTTCTTTATTATTATTTTTGTGCGTGTACTGTCAAATCAGATCTGACTGGTACAGGAGGATATTGCGCCTCCTTCTCCGGCAGAGCATTTGGTGGATTCGAACCATGTTCCTCTGGGATTGCAGTGCAGCTTCTTGCCACTAGGCCACCAGAGCTCCCATATAGTCTTAAGCCTTCAAAACTAGCAAAGCAGTGTTGAAAGCTATTTGGTTGTGTCTGTGTAATGTCTGTCTATCTGTGTCTTCAGTAAAGCTAGGTACCTGGCCCAACTATCTGTATTTCAATCTGTTCTCACCTAAAGGACTAAAATTTGAATAACTTGAGCTGAATCAAAAGCCAGAGGTAACATAAAGTCTAGGAACAACAGGAATCTGGGCCCATCTTTAATCTTTGTTTCTGCTCTCCCTCATTTCCTACTCTCAAATCTCACAAGGCAGCCTCCCAACTTAAGTCTGTAATGCCTCAGAAACCACATTGAGTCCTCTTCCCTGTGGTCTTTATGCTGTTGCAGCTGTGTGCCAGCTGTTTTGCTGATGGAGGCTACAGATGGGAATTTGCTGGTACTTAAGTCCTGTTTTTCTAATTAAGGGTGCTTCATTATTTGAGCTAAACATGTGGTAAGTCACACCACAATGAGAACAAAACCGATCCATCTTAACTCTAGTATCTTTCACCAGGAGAGGGTAGAACATGGCACCTCCCAGGAACTGGAGAAAAGTTTTTGTGAGCTGCTTTCTAAAAACTGTATACCTCTTGTGTGATGGCTGTATCCTTTGCATTTTACCATCTTCTCTATTAAGTCAGGCATTTTGACTTGGTATTTTCTAGCATATGTCTCATTTCTGATTAAAACAATCTGTATTTTAATTTAAAGGTCCACATTTTTAGATTCACTAGTGTTGGTGTTGCTGTTAGATGCTGTCGAGTTGCCTGCATCTCATAGTGTACAATACCTCTGAGACATGGCCTGTCCTGAGCCAGTCCCACTGATCCTGACACACCGACCCGTGTTGCCCAAGTCACTTTATCAATCCATCTCATCCTGGGTTTTCCTCTCCTAGGCTATCCCTCCACCCTTCTAAGAGTGATGCCCTCCTCCAAGGAACTGTCCCTCTTGGCTACATGCCTAAAGTGTGTGAGACATAGCTTCAAAATCCTAGCCTCCTAGGAGAAAATTGGTTTCACCTTCTTCAAGACCAACCTATTTGTTTTCTTGGCAGTACATGGTATGTTTAAGAGTCTTCTTTAACACCGCAACTCCATGGCATCAATCTTCTTCTGTCGCCCTTACATTGTTTAGCTCTCTGATGTATAGAAAGTAATTGCGAAGATCATGGCCTGGTTCAGGCATACTTTCATCTCTATACTGACATCATTGCTACTCTGGAAAGGTCCCTCACAGCAGATTTTCCAAGGGCTGGTGCCGAGAGTATTGATTGTGGAGCCGAGCAAACTGTAATTGTTAAGAACCACAATCTCTTCTCCATCTATTGTGGTGCTGCCAATTGGCCCAGTGGTGAGAATCTTTGTCTTCTTGATGTTGAGCTTCAATTCATATTGAAGACTACAGCCCTTGCCCTTCTACAGCAAGTGCTTCAGGTCCTTCTCACTTTCAGCCAGCAAATTTGTGTCATCGCCATAACATAGGCTGTTGATGAGTCTTCTTCCAATCTTGATGCCACTTTCTTAATTATAAATCCCAGCCTCCTGAATGATCTGTGCTACATATAGATTGGAAAGGTATGGAGACAAGCTCCATCCCTGACACACTCCTTTCCAGATTTTGAACCATGCAGTGTTCTCTTACTCTGTTCTGAGCACTACTTCTTGGTGCAAGTTTCACATGAACACAAACAAGTAAGTGTTCTCGTATTCCTGTTCTTCTCTAGGTCAACCATAATTTGTTGTGATCCACACAGTGAAATGTCTTTGACTAGTCAATGAAACACAGACAGACATTCCTCTGATATTATTTGCTTTCTGTCAAGATCCACTCTTACGATGTATTTTAGAATGAAAATATTGTTACTGACTTTTTTCTTTTTTAAAGTAATAATTCCCTGAGTTAGAAATTTTTCAGCAATCTGCTCTTGAGAAAACCATATAATCTACTTTAATATTTGTATCTCACACCATTGAATCTTCAAATTTTATTTACTTATTTAAAACATCATGTTAAGGAAACATAAGCATATTTCTGTATTAGTGAGGGCACTCTGGTGACCTAGTCCGTAAGGAGTTGCACTACTAACCCAAAGTTCTCATGAGCTGCTTTGGCAGTTTAGATTTACCAGTGGCTTCTCAGGAAAAAGATGGGCAGTCTCTTCCTCTTTGATTTATAGCCTCTAAAAGCCAACTGGTGTGTCAGGCATATGTCGATTCCAACTTGATGGCAATGACTTTGAGAGGTTTTGGGTTTTTTTCACGATACTAACATTCAATTGAGTTTCTCTATTCTCTAGCCTATGTATGTGGATTATGCTTTGCAGTTTATCACTTTTTGGTCTGAATAATTGGTAAAATATATATGTTAAAGTGAGAAATCCAGTGTAATTAGGGAAAGTAAATGAAGTCCAGGAGCAATTCATGCTGTTAAGCCTTTCAAGACTGAGGGAATTGCTCCAGTCAGCATAAGCCAGGAGAGCAAGAAGGACCTTCATGTTGTCAGAAACACATGCTCAGTGATCCCCAAACAAGGCAACCGAATAAAGAAACCGAGAATGGAGACACACGCAGATAGGGCCAGCAGTCAGAATGTATTCATAACAGTGAACATCTGGCTTAGGGAATACTACCATTTGCCTGAGAATTAACCCATATGACCTAATGGGGGGAAACGCCAACCACCACACCAATGCATATTGAAGATAGAATGGGCTGTTTTCATATACCATATAACTTGAAGCTACTTCATATAGTTGGGAGAAAGAATTGATAATTCACTAATATTTAAGGACCATGTTAGAAAAAGAACTATAGACATATTCTAGACATGAATCGAAACCACATATTGGATATTTTGATTGTGATGAAGATACTTTGTCTTAAAATATCATTTGATGGAATGTACTGTTAAAACAAATACTGTAAAATGTACAGCCACTTATGTTGAAAAGTGTACTATATCTAAAATATTTTTTTTAAAAACAGCCCTGGAGCATTTGAATAATTGTTCTATTTCAAAGTGTTCAAGTGACACCATTCTGTGATTAGCCATAACCAAGGGACATTTGTGGAGTGACTGAAAACACTTCTGTTTGTCTTTTAAAAAATCATTTTCCTGTTCCTTTTGTTAGGAGTTGAGTTAGTTCTTTCATCTGCACCTGCTTTTCTGATGAAAACTAGTCATTTCATTGTGCCTAAAACATTTCAGTGGACAAGTACAAATTATATATATGCAGTAATTTAATGCAACAGTGGAACTCTAATAGATCGTATCTGTATCATATTGTATTTTAGGTTCCAGCAATTAAATAACAGAAAGGCACTCCAGAAAATATGTCTACAGCTCATTTGTTTTAGATGATAATCCATAATGCAATTAATTGCTGTAGGAAGATCACTATTAATGATAGGACTTGTAAAATTCATTTATGGTTTTATGACTTTTTTCCACCTATTTATTAGCAGCAAAACTTGGAACTCTCTCATTTTCTTACGTTGTAGAAAGTTTTCTTTAAAATTAAGAAGGAAAACAGTTTTTATATATACATGAGATGTGAGATTATGTATATAGAAAGTAGTTTGCCTGTGATTAACAGAAAAATCTTTTAAACCAGAAATGATAGACTTGCATTTTCTTTCTTTTCAAGGGAGCCAAGGGCACAAGAAAGGGGCAAGGACACCCAAAGCCCCCAAACAGGGCGGCATGAACTGGGCAGACCTGCTCCCTCCTCCCCCGGTACATCCACCTCCACACAGCAACAGTGAAGAGTACAGCATTTCTGTGGATGAGAGGTGAGAGGAATTTCAGAATGAATCTGCTCATGACATATGATTTCATACACCCATATATATAGTTGTTAAACAGCGTCATAAGTGCCAGCAACAATGGGCTTGAGGATGGCACAGATTGTGAGGATGATGCAAGATAGGCAGGGTTTAAATTTCTTGTTTATTGGGTCAATATAAGTTGCAGTTGCTTCAGTGGCACCTAACAACAGGAGCAACAGGAAACTAGGTCATCAAGGAGAAACTGATTTCCAAATTCTGTGAAAAGTTACCTCTCAGTGAAAAATAGTGTTGATGTGTCAGGAAGACTGTGTAATTGTCCTCTTGTCATTATTGGTTTCCATTGAGTGAGTTCTGATCCATAGTGACCACATGAGTGCCAGGTGAAATTACTCTGTAGAGTTTTCAAGGCTGTGACATTTCACATGATCACCAGGCTCATCTTCCTAAGAAGCTCTGAGTGGATTTGAAACATCAACCTTTTTTAACTCTTAGGTGAGTGCTTAACCGTCTGCCCACCCAGACACTTTGTAAACTCTCCAGATAGTTGCTATCCAAAAAGAAAATGAAATCTGGACCCTTCAATATTCTTTTAGCACTAAATATCAGAAAAAGAGTCTGGCTCAATTTCACTATAAATATTCATTGCCATTGAGCCAGCTCTGATAACAGCAAGCCGGTGCACGTCAGAGCAGAGCTTTGTCCCACTGGGTGTTCCGTGGTTGACAGGTCAGAGCATGGACTTCTAGCCTGATGATTGGTAGCCAAGTGCATTAAACGTTTACACCACCCAGGGACTCAGCATGCACATACATGCATGCCTCTGTGTGTGTGTGTGTGTGTGTGTGTGAGAGAGAGAGAGAGAGAGAGAGATTTTGTGGATTTCAATTATCAGAATTTTTGTGGCATATCTCTTACTTTTCATAGAATCATTTTGTGGGTTTATGCTGCAAGTACAATAGCCTTAGGACTCTTCATAGGTATAATCCCATTATGGTGAAAATGTGTGAGAACTTATGTTGTACTGAGTTAGTTTTCGTGTAGCTTTAACAAGTGTAAATAATTCACATGAGGACAGTCAGAAAGTTAATATTCTTCTTCCCACTCCAAAATTCATAGAGCACGACCCGATAACTTCCAAGTAAAATAGAACAGCTGTTTGGCTCTTAGGACAGATGTAGGAGAATTCACTTGATTTAGAGAATTAAAATAATACTAAACATAAAATCATCCAGAAAATAAATGTTTTCATAGTTAGAGAAATAAAGGTGCACTTCTTTCATTCTCCATAAAAATGGTGTTTACGGCCAACTATGTTCTGAAGCAGAGCTGCCTAAATTCTAATTTTTATTTTATAAAATTAGTTTCTGTTTTTATTTACATATTTTTAAAGTAAATATTTTATGAATTTTTAAATGCAAGTTGTATACACTAATGAAAAGTCCCATATAATTTTTAAACTCTCAAATAATAAAAAATACAGCTCATAGATGGTAATAGCACTTTGTGATCTTAATCCGCAGAAGAGGAATTAAGTAGATACAGATTTTTAAAAAACCAAAAAACTACCAGGCTTACAACTGTACCCCAAAGAAGAAAGCCAATTAGGACTGGGAAGGATGGACAGGTTCCTGATTTTTTGGCTTTTGACCTCGACAAATGGGAAGGTTCTCAGCAGAGGCGTAGAAGAGGAAGGGTTTTATGGACCTGGGACCACACACAGATGTGGACACTCAGCAAACCTAACAAGAAACACATGGTAAGGGAGTGAGAGGCAGCTGGGAATGTAAAGAGATGCCAGATTATGGAGAAACCTCCATTTAGGGAGTTCCATTTTCTTCTCTAGGCAGTTAGAGAGCTGTTTATTAGTATGGAGTGAATTAATGGCATGAGTGTGATGAATACTGCAATAAAGTTATTTTGGATGCAACTTCTGGATGGAGAAGAGAGGGTGACTCGAAGCACAGAGATCAACCACAGGTTCTTCTGTCGTACAGGTGAAGAGGAGGAGAGAATGAGTGCTGGAGGAGATAACTGAAGATTTGGGGTTAGGATGAGTGGGCACGTTGCTATGTTATTTATTGATAAATGGAATATAAGAAAGAGTAACAGAAAGAGAAAATGGAATTAAAACAAAGAAATATAGAAATAAAGCATGTTATTGTAATATCAGCTTTTGTGAATTTGAGTAAACCAAGGTGGTCAACAATGTAGGAAGGGGAGTAATGAGTGCACACATTATGGACTGTGGTGCATCACTCTCCTTCTAATTAAAAAGCGTATGTTCTGGGATGAAAAAAGAAGAAAAGCATAAATCTTCTCCAGATCTATCTTGATTTCCATGCAATTCTTTTTTGTGTGTGTGAAAAAAATTTATATTTATAATTAGCCCACTGGACTCAGTTTAGATGATCCCAATTTTGTTGGCAACATCCAAAGCATCATAGTCAGGGGCAAGTAGAACACAGGCCTTCTTCTCTCCATCAGGCCTAATCAAAGTGTTGACCTTAGCCACATCAATGTCATAGAGCTTCTTTACAGCTTGTTTAATTTGGTGCTTGTTGGCCTTCCACAATGAACACAAGTGTGTTGTTATCTTCTATCTTCTTCATAGCTGACTCTGGTCAGCGGAAATTTGATGATGGCATAGTGGTCAAGCTTGTTTCTCCTGGGGGCGCTCTTCCGGGGGTATTTGGGCTGCCGTCGGAGTCTCAGCGTCTTAGGCCGCCGGAAGGTGGGTGACGTGCTGATCTTTTTTTTCGCTGTGGACCCCCTTCAGGACTCCCTTCTTGGCCTTTAATGCCTTTGCTTTGGCTTCAGTTTTGGAAGGGGCGGGGGCTTCCTTCTTGGATTTCGGCGCCATCTTCCTAGAAAGGCGATTTCTACACAATTCTAACAGAAGAACAGAGCTGTTCTGCTTTTCTTTAGGGTATATGTATTTTCTTTCATCATCCTAAATGTAAGATAATGCTTTAATGTTTAAACAACTAAATAAATATTACTGTCTTATAATTTGAGTCAGGCCTGATTACGCAGTGAATTAAGCACTGAGGAAATGTTAATCAAAAGCTCAGTGTTTCAAGTCTCAGGCACTCTGCTGAAGAACACAATTTGGATTAATATTTACAACCTCGGAAAATCTATGTGGCATTTCTACTCTGTCCTATCGGGTCACTATGAGTCAGAATGAACTCAGCAGCCAAGGATTTTATCACAGTTCCAGAGCAAAACTGACAGTATTAGACAAATTAAGTTGATTTCCAGTGTGTCTCCCTCTTTATAACATGTTCAAAAAGAATTTTTCTAAACTTAACCTTCACCTCTGCACCATTTGTAGCAGCACTCTCATTTCAAGAACAGGTTGAATGAGAACACTAAACTATATAACGTTTTTGGACGTTGCTTTTATTGTTAGTTGCCATCAAGTTCATTCTGGTTCGATTTGTCCAGAACTGAGCAGTGCTTCATACAGTTCTGAAGGCTGGAACTTTCAGAAGGAGATCACGGTCTTTAAGGCACCTCTGGTGGCTTTTAACTTCCAATCTCTTAGCTCTTACATGTTCATGCCACATCTGGTAAATACTAAGTTAAAGTGTGAAGGAATCCTGGTGATGGTGGCGGCCATAACTCATCAGGCTGTACTTAAAGGTTGGCAGTTCAAATCTACCAGCCTCTCCAAGGGAGAAAAACAGGTAGGCAGTCTCCTCCCTTAACTATTTGCAGCTTTAAAAAACCAGATCTCCATCCAGTATTAGTCAGAACCAACTGCAAAGCAATACATTTAAGGTTTTTGAAGTAGAAGTATGTTAAATGGATATTTTAGTTGTTGACTTTTCAGAATCTATAATAATTTTATATAGATATTATTTACAAAGGAAACTCTGATGGCTTAGTGGTAATGAGTTGTACTGTCAATCCAAAATTTTTCAGTTTGAATCCTCTAGCTGCTCTGTGAAAGAAAGATGTACAATCTCCTCCTTTTCAATTTATTGCCTCTGAGAACCCACTGGATAGTTTCAATGAGTCAGTTTTCAATTGGATGGTACATAACATAGTGGGTTACAAACTCAAGGAAAAGATTTATATTTTGTGACAATTGACTTTTTCCCCCAGTATTTTTATTGGTCTCAATAATTACTTTGTTTCATTCATATACATTGTGTTTTGTACAATCTTTCATTTACATTGTGTTTCATACAATCATTCACATACATACTATTTTACATTCATTTTTAAATGGGCTTACTTACAAAGTTTGTATACATTGTGTTTCACATTGTAATTCACATTGTGTTTCATATAATCTTTCTCATGCATTATTTTTTATAAAAAGAATCACTATTGGACCTTGCCCATCATTACCCTGTCTTTTCAGCTGGATCCTACCGGTTAGCTTCCCCGCCCCTCTCTGCTGTGATACATTAACTTGGGAGAGCCTGGAGATCATTATGCTGAGTGAACTAACACAATCTCATAAGTGCAAATACTGCGTAAGACCATTATTATAAAAATAGAAGGATAATTAGTAAAACATGTACAAAAATTCAAGGGTGAGAGGAGAGCAGAGAGGTGAGGATAGGGGTGAAATGACAATTAACATTTTGTTTAAACACCCTTTCTTTACCATGGCCCAAACAGCATGCATCTTTGAATAGATCAAAGCTGATCTTCCACTTCCTGTATAAAGGTGGTTTTCTTTCAATTAACTTTAATTAAGCTTACATGTTCTTATTATTTGTTTTAGTTATGACCAAGAAATGTCATGCCCTGTGCCACCAACAAGGATGTATTTGCAACAAGATGAATTAGAAGAGGAGGAAGATGAACGAGGCCCCACTCCTCCAGTGAGGGGAGCGGCTTCCTCCCCTGCAGCTGTGTCCTACAGCCATCAGTCCACTGCCACACTCACGCCCTCGCCACAGGAAGAGCTCCAGCCCATGTTACAGGACTGTCCAGAGGAGATTGGCCACATGCAGCACCAAGCTGACAGGAGGTATGGTGTCACTAGCATTCTTTGCTGACAAATTACTTCCCCACTCATCGATGGCATTTATATAAAACTACTCCTTGCATATGCCATGACAGAGAACCAAATACTGTGACTATTCAGGCCATGATAGGGAGATCTGGTGGCCTAATGGTAAGAAGTACACCATAATCCCAAAGGCCTGCAATTCAGATCCACCACCAGCTGTTCTGCTGGAGAAGGATGAGAAATCTCCCATGCAGTTTACTGCATCTGAAAATCTGCTGGTGGGCCTGTGATGAGTCAGTTCTGACTCAAGGGCACATAGTAAACTCCTTCCGTGATATAACTTTCACATCACCTATACCTCTTCTTGTGGTGTCATTAAACATTATGCCAAGGTCGTTAACATATCAAATACAACTATTGACAACTGAACGTATAACAATAACACAAATTGTGTTCATAAACACATGGAGATTGTATAATACATTTATGGGTGGCTAAATCTTGTAACATACCATAAACTTTTTTGTTCTTTAGTTTTCCTTATGCCTGAGAAAGTCACTTCTTTGGCTGGGAAATTTATTTTCTCCTGTAATTAGTCCACATAATTATTTCTTGTCTCACAGATACAATGTCACATAAGAACAGATTTGATAAATTTATTTTTCTGTTGACCTTATATTCTTTTATTTTAGTAAGAAGTTAAGCTGGAGACCTTTTGTTCCAGTTGATAAATAAATGTGTGTGTGTATGTGTGTGTGTGTGTATGTATGTGTGTGTATGTGTGTGTATGTGTGTGTATGTATGTATGTGTGTGTATGTGTGTATGTATGTATGTGTGTATGTATGTGTGTATGTGTGTATGTGTGTGTATGTATGTGTATGTGTGTATGTCTGTGTATGTGTGTGTATGTGTGTGTATGTGTGTATGTGTATGTATGTGTGTGTATGTGTGTGTATGTGTGTATGCATGTGTATGTATGTATGTGTGTATGTGTGTGTATGCGTGTGTATGTGTGTGTATGTGTGTATGTATGTGTGTGTGTGTGTGTGTGTGTACATGCACATGCTAGTTTTTCTAACCTAATGTTGAGCATCATCAGCAAATGCATTTTTGTTATATACAAATATACAAATACTTCACTTGTCATATCTGTCACATAAAAGCTGTTACTACAGTTTGTTAGCTCTTCCCTCGTTGTTGATCATTTTATGTGCACTATTTTATTGCCCTTGACATATTATGCTGCCAATACATATTACTTAATACAGTTTGAATATAACTTGAAATAGATGATACTACGTGCCTCAGAAGATTTTATTTCAATATTGTTGAATGAAGGGCAAATTCTGGCCTATGTTGCTTAAATTCTTACCTTATTCTTGGATTAATACAGAGTTTGCAATGATTTAATAGCCCTGCTATCATTAAGAGGTTATAACCAAATTCAAATCATCTAGACTCTCAAAAGAAATTGTTAGACCTTCTTCTGTGTCTTAATTCTCAGTGGGGGTAGAATAGGGAACTAGAATGGCATACATTTAACTATATTTTACTCCTTGGAATCAGTGAAGACTCAGGACAAATAAGGTTATTATCATCTCAGGTCCTCCTATTTAAAGCAAATGGCCTTCCCCCACCCCATAATTTCTTTTTTTAAAAATAATATTTTAATTTCATATTGGTTTGCATACAGAATTCATATACATTGTGTTTCTCCCATTCCTTCATCCACTTGGTGTTTCATATGGTGTTTCCCATACTTCGTGTTTTATAAAATTAATCACCAATGGGACAAAACTTAGAAGGCCTAGTCTTCAGTATAAAAAGTCTGGCAAATACAGCCAGAAATGTACAACAGGAAAGGACGACATTGATAAATAGTATGTTGTGTACATCAAAAGTGTTTTCTAATAGATTGAAAAGAAAACCTACTGACTGGGAAAAAATATTAGTCAATGACATCTCAGGGAAGGATCTGATATAGAAAAAGTCTACAGAGTTCTGTGGGGCTTCCACAATAAAGAGACCAAGAACCCAATTACAAAATGGACAAAAGACATGGAAAGACTTTTATCAGAGGAAGACATTCATGTGGCCTTCTTTTTGACACCTCAAAGTAATAGATATAAAATCTAAACCTTGGCAACTGTCTTTCATTCCTTCAAATGACCTGTTTGTTTCCATTTCCACCAGTGTTTTTCCCTCATTCTTACAGATGACACTCAGTATATTCTTTTTTAAGTTTAGTGTACCATCCTCATAACCTTCTGAAAAAATAAAATCACTTCACTTTTATCCTTTATCTCTCTTTCCAGCATCTTTGTCTTCATGGGATCTTTTTTTTTTTTTACTCCTGTACACTTAATTCTGTTCTCTCAAACTCTTTCTTCTCTTTGCCTCCTCTTCTGACTGCCATATTCTCCTTGTCTCTTACTCCCTAGTATTATTTAACTACTCTGTCCCTCTTATTCATTCTATTTTATACTGAAGCTTAGTCCAGTATAACTTGGGCCATTTTGCTTCCACTGAACATAATTTCCTCAGGATCAAGTCCAGAGGTTTCTCAGTCCTTAAGCTTTATGCAGACTTGGCTGTTGGGGTTGTGAGAATCAAATGAGATAGAATATATAACATTCTTAACCTGTACCCATCTCTTGTTTGAACATTCCTGTTTTTCTAATGTCTCCATTCTCTTAGCTCAAACCATTTTTCCTGGTTTCACTATCATGTTTTCACCTAGACAGTTCAGGCTTTCCCTGTCCCAAGCAGCTTGTTACCCCTCAGATTTCCCTCTTCACCTCCTTTGTTTAGAATTCTCAAGGACTATTTAATTGACCTGTAGTGAAACATTAAAAGAACCAAAAGAATAGGCAAAAGTCATAAACATTTTTCATTTTAAGTTAAATTTCAGACTGTTTGATTTCTTCTGTTTTCTTCCTAACATCCACCAAACTGAATTATTCACTTAGTCTACTCAATGCTAATATGAGAGTGCCTAGTTTTTGTTTTATTTCTATTCCTAAAGATATTGAGACAGGGATTTAGTACCTCCCTCTGTGAAGTTATATCATATATTGAATTGTTATTTTTGTTCTTTTTGTTTTTGTTGTTCACACTCTACAAAAATCTCCTATAATCCTTCTTTACTCAGGAGTCTGATATGATCACTCCTTTGAGAGGCTTGAATGGCCTTCCATTTCTCTTAAGAGTTAAATATT